AATAACAACAATTAGTGTACATTGGTGTACATATACATTTTGTTATATAAAAGATAATTATTTTATATATATATATATATATATATATATATATATATATATATATATATATATATATATATATATATATATATATATATATGTATGTATTTGGGGTGTCAAAATGAATTGTTTCTTCAATGCACTGCGATGCAGATGTGAACAATTCGGTATCGGTTCAGTAATAATCATAACCGGCTATTATGTAGTGACATAAATTATCTCATATGTGTTATATGGCGGACCGCGTGTAATTAAATTGCTCCAACTACTTTAAAAGCAGATAACTATGCACAATTCACTGCTTGTGAGTTTGCTGGACAGTCTTTTACTGACAGGGGAGTATATCAGAACCCAGTTAGGAAAAAAATGAAAGCTGTAAACTCTCTCACTCTCTGTGGCCACTTTGACCTGCTGGCATGTTTGTGAGGTAACGTTTTATCTCCTCTTACGGCTATTGTACACAACAATAACATTACTTGAGGATCCTCCACTGAGTCGTTGTCTTTAATGAATCAGTTAATCGCCCCGGCCGTTTAACATCAATGTCCATGTCACTGTTTGCTGAAAAGCACCAGAGCCGTGCTGTCCATTAGAGCCGATTGCAACCTTTTTGTTGAGCGCGTGATCAATCATAGGCCTTTAAGAACCCACTCAACAAAGCTCAACAAGCAAGCAGGATAAGATTTACATTTGTTTATTTGCCATAAATGCTCATGTTGTTTTGTGCAAGTACTTTAGTTTTGTTTGATGCATTCAAAAGAGTGATTTCTTTGAGCAGGTAAATTTAAAGATACACTACATACATCTGACTGCTTGTATTAAATAACAAACTTGTATTACAAATAATATATAAATAAATTAATTGAATTATTGTGTAGATAAGTAAAATATCAAACTGTTTATGGAAATGCATCGTGATGCAGAGATATCGAATTGAACTGAATCGATGGCATGATTATCAAAACTGAACAGAACCGTGGGACCAGTGTAGGTTCACACCGCTAATATATTTTTAAAAATCAAATTATTTGTACAAGTTGTGCGAGGTGCCGCATTGGAAAGGATGCTATAGAGACGCATCCCCTGCTTTCCTTTAACGTGCGTGCCTGTAATGGGAAGATGATGGCTAAGAGGAAGACTTTTAATGTCTGAAATAGACCTTTTTTTAAATTCCATGATATTCCAGAAACTCCATGACCTGTAGGAACCCTGTGTTAAAACGAAGATCTGAATAATGCATTTGTCTATTACTGTGAACAAAGAAATTGTGCATTTCACACAGGTTTTAAATGTAGCAATTACATTTATTTTAGTCTTTGGAATTATAAGGCTGCAACATAAAAGATTAAATTATAAATACATTCTGGGTGTTTCGTAGATATTTATGTTTAGTTATGGAATATAGATTAAAAACAAAATCACATATTGTTGGTCAAAAAATAAGAAAAATAAAACTTAAATTTTGCCAGAAATATCAGATATCTAGGCAATTGAAAAAACAACATTAAATGAATAGTTCTCCCAAAAATACATTCCTCTCCATTTACTCTGAAATTTTCTTAGTTTCTTTCTTGTTGAAAACAAAAGCAAGGTGTTCTGAAGAAAAGCAAAAAGCAGCCACAGAATACTATAGCAGCAAAAAATACTATAGAAGTCAATGGCTGTTTTTTTGTCTCGTTCAAAATCCTTCATATACCATCCTTTGTGTTTCACAGAAGAAAGAAACTCAAACAGGTTTTGAACAAGTAGAGAATGGCTAATAAGTGATGGCTTCCCTTTAAGCAGCACAACTGTTTCACACATTAATAATAACAATAGGAACTGGGGTCTTTTTTTTTTTTTTTTTTAAATATAAGCATAATGACTTAAAAGTGAAACTAAATTAAGGTGATATGTTGAAATATCAGCTTTGGCACCACAGGAATAAATTTTTCAAATGTATCACACTGTACTACAATAAACATTATTATAAAATGTTTTGACTTCTGCCAATAAGCTATATTTATATCACTGAAATGAAAATAAAAAAGTTTTTAATGCATTTTAAAAACAAATGGTGGGAAAAGCATGCCTTTGTTGTATTAGAAAAGGTAGAGAAACATGACACCTCTATGTCCCAGTATGACTCTTTTGTGTCATACAGTGAGTACGTGCATTTTTCACGGTGCCACTACCAGGCCCGGATTGGCTAATCGGGAGGACCGGGAGAATTCCCGGTGGGCCGGTCCGTTTTTTGGCCGCGAGGGCCGGTGTCCCTAGTTCCAGAATCTGTTGCTCTCAGCAGTCACACTTTTTAAAAATAATTTATTTATTTACTTGACCACAGCCTTCTTATTCTTTATTTTACCGCAGCTCTGCTTTTTTTATCTATTTTCTCGTAGCCTCGTGAGCAGCCTGCAGGTTAATGATGATATAATTAGATAAGTCACCATTAGACACACAGCTGTTGTGGTACAGTGGTTAGTACGTTAGTTTATGACGCGGCCAACCTGGGTTCGGTCCTTGTCTAAGTAACAATTTTTTTTTTTTTTCATTTTTATTGTTAAGACATAATACTGTAAGGGTTGTTGAACATTGAAGTTCTAAATGAGCTGTTTTCTCAAAAAAAGACGTTATAGTGTAATTAGAAACTGAATTGGAAATTACCTTATTTTAATATAGTCAGTGGTGAACTGAGGTGGGCCGGTCTGAGGCTTGAAACTCCAGGGCTGAAAAAGAGTCCCACTCCGGCCCTGGCCACTACAGTGGAATAGTTGACAGAAAACCCAGCATCTGTCATCTCAAAGCCTACAGCTGCCCTCTAGTGGCTTGTACGTGTAAGGACACGATTTTGAGGGACGTAAACAATAACAATGGTCCTAGGGTATTTCCTGTTGTACATTTTTCATTTTCATAGCTTCTGAGAATCCCAAAAGGTATACATATTGATACATAATGTTATGGCAGCTGTTTAAACGTTACATTATGATTGAATCGCTACTTGTTACTGTTATGAAATGGTTTGACAACAAGCCGGAAATGTTCATGGGCCAACGCCACAACCACGTTGAAATGATCTACATTTCGAAGAACAGAAAGAACTGAGCTCCAATTTAATCTGCATGTGACAGACATGTCAAAACAAAGATTGTAGAATAGTTCACCTGCTGGGACAAAGCGCTGGTCTGCCGAGGAGAGAGCTGCTGGTCATAAAAGGCATCACCAAATACACTTCCGAGAATGGACGAGTGCTGAAACAAGAACATATTAGAAATGACCATTCATGAAGATGAGCATGACTATAACACAGCCCTTAATGAAACATATTCAGCCTATGAGAGGATCTAAGTTGGTCATGTCATGAAATTCAAAATTATAACTACGTTATTAGTATGTTTGACAAAGACATTTTTGGCTCAGTTGGAACACAAAAATGTTGCCCTGTACATAAATGCAACATCTTATCAAAGCAACAGATGAGCAAAGACCTAAACATCTCAGGAATCCCACACTGAATATCACTACAGTCGTATTTTCTACCTGAAATGTTGATTATCATTTTGAAATGGCTTTCAAGAAAACGAAGCTTAACACCATCCTTTCAACTCTATAAGTTTGTGTACTCCATTGAACTATATTGTGATGTGACTATATTTACTATTGTTAAATAACTACTGCTGTGACACAAAATAATAACTCCTATTGATTTTCAAGCATCCAGTAATTTTGTTTTAATTTCTGTGAGCAAATTGGTATAGGGTTGGGTACTGAAACCAGTTGACATAAATAACCAGAGCCTGTGAGAAACATAAATCTTTATATGAAAAAATCAACGGGCTAAATTTTAAATCAGTAACCAGCAAGAAAAATAAACGTTATTTGGAAACGTTATTTAAACGTTATAACACTTTAAAATAATGGTCCATTAGTTCATGTTAATGTATTTACTAACATAAACAAACAATTAGTAATACATTCATTACTGTATTTATTCATCTTCGTTAACGTTAGTTAATGTTATTTAAGTTAAATAAGGTTGATTATATTAGTTAAGACAACTCACAGTGAAATAACTAATGTTAACAAGCACAGCTTTGTATTTTAAGAATGCATTAGTTAATGTTAAACTATGATTTATAAATCATTTGTAAGTCGCTTTGGATAAAAGTGTCTGCTAAATGACTAAATGTAAATGCTTTACAAGATTATACATACTTATTGTTAGCAAATAGTCAGTTTTTCTACCTATTCATGTGATGCAGTCGTTTTAACACTACTTTATGTCGATATTGGACTACCGTGATGTTATCTATATGCATGCATTGGATACTGTTTACCATGGTGCACTAAGATTTATAACTAATTTGAAATCCCTTACTCATCATTGCATGTTGTATACTAAAGAAGGTTGGTCTGTCTTTGTCCATTTGTAGGTTAAAGCATTGGCATCTCTTTGTTTACAAATCTATACTGGGTTTACTCCCATCATATCTACAGAATTATATTTGTTAAAAAACTGTCCTTAGCCATGTCCTTTGGTCACATGATATTTATTTACTGTTTGCTCCTAAAGTGCAGACTGAGATGCGGAAAAACAGCTTTTAAATACGCAGCACCATTTGCATGGAATAATTTACAAACAAGGTTGCAGTTTAAAGAGTTGATTTTGACACTAAATGCTTTTAAAAAGGGTATATTTGATTTAGAAATTGAAACACAGGCTTGTAGATGTTTTAAATAGTTTGTTTGTCAATGTGTAATTCATGATTTGTTGTCTGTTGGACCCATGTGAGATGTATACTGCCTAATTTTGGCCAGGACGCTCTTGTAAGAGATTTTTTTTTTTTTTTATAATTATTTTTTCGTGGTTTTTCGGGGTTTTTCACCCCGGACAGTAGAGAGTATCGACAGGAAAGCATGGGGAGCAGAGAGAGTGGAAGGATCGGCATAGGACCGCGAGGCGGAATCGAACCCGGGTCGCCGGGAGCACCGGAGTGCATGTGTCGACACACCAACCACTACACCACCGGCGCCGACTCTTGTAAGAGATTTTTAATCTCGATGTGTCTTTCCTGGTCAAATAATAATAATAATATTAATAATAACTACTTAGTTCGTCCACAAGATGTCAGCCCTGAACCAGGCTATTGTTTGTTTCACAGTCAGAAAAGAAACTAAGACATGACAACAAGAATAGTGAAGACAACAATAATGAAAATCAGCAGCATTTTTTCCTCATGCAGACCACTTTTTTTTCTGTTGACATCTCAAAAATGCCAAAAGCATAGCGAGGTGCTTCTGAGCACAAATTTTATGATGGACAAGTGCACCTAAACAATCTCCAGACATGTAATTTGTCAAGTGTCGTATTTTCCCAGTGGAAGTGAATATGATCATATTTATGCAAACTAATGACTGAATTTTGAAGCTGTTTTTTAATTATTTTTGTATATATCTAACACAATGTCACAACAATACATAACTTTTTGTTTTAGTGGCTATTTTGTAATAATTCATAAGATCTATTTCAAACAATTTAGTACGATTTGCTCATCACCCAATGACTGTTGGATTTAGGGGTGAGGTATGGTGCCTCGCTTCCTCTTTAAAATCGTACAATTGAACAAATTTGTACGAATTAAGCACTTAACTGACAAAACGTAAATTCCTTACGTTTTCTCATGAGATCAGGCTGATATATCAGTTCATCCAGTGGTATAATTAATAGATAAATTTAGCACTGGTTTCACTACAAACTTAATCAATACCCAACCCTAAATTTGAATGTGCAAAACTGTTTAGTAATCTGTTTTTACTCATGAACAAAAACCTACAGTATATAAATCTGTTCAGCATTACATGTTTCAGCCTTTTCAGAACATATGGAATAAACTACCTACATAATATGGACATTTTTTATCTTATCATTATGATTGATGTGGACGAACAGACTTTCGATGATGTCACAGAAATCTCTCATATCTGATTACAAACATCTTCATTTGAAGTGCTCTGAAGAAAAGATGAGAACAATATGAAGGCGAGTAAATGATGAAAACATTCATTTAGGGGTGAACAAACCTATTCATCTTTCAAAGGAGCATCGTTTCACGTCATACTACCACAACCAGCAACTCGGCTCAAAACGCACAATATGCACATGATCCAGTGAAAGGATGTGTAACAGCAATGAGTACGGCATACAGTACATTTAAACTGGCCTGCATCGCTCCTCAGCATGATACACACAGAGAACGACTACGTGGTGCTCAGACACACAGCGAAGCAGCCAGGGGTCAGAGAGAGAGAGAGACTGGGGGGGACACGACTAGACTGGGACACACAGAGCGGGCTAAAGGGACAGGCTCCAGATCGGCTCCAAACAAAACAAACTACAGGGAGGAAGCAGCGGCTGCTGGATTCGCCCTTACTTGAGGCGAGCCCCCTGGAGAGAAGCCTTGATTGGAGACCGGAGAGGTTGGAGACTGATTGGCCGAAGACCCCACCCTACAGCGGTACTGCTGGAGGGAAGCAGCCTACATGGGACAACACCAAGTTAGACCAACAGAGCCCCTGTAGGGGACCTCGGACTCCTGCGTCTCTCAGGTTAGTCAAGGAACAGATTACTACAGTGTCTCTGATTACTCTGCCATATAAACTGTGCAGCTGTGCAGGATGACTGTGCTGTTATTATTAGACTGCTGACTCTTTATAAAAAGAAATATATGTATTGTATATATGTATTTGTTGATCATCTTTTTTCTAGAAAGTATTGGTAACTCTTCATTAGGGTAATGTGAAGATGTTGGAGGTGTTTAAAACTGAACAAGCAGGGAATTTAAAAAGGAAAGAGTTTTTTATTTACACTACCAGTCAAAAGTCTGGACTTTGAATTGTGTTTTAGATAATATAATTATTAATTATTATTATTATTATTATTTTGATCTAAATTTAATATGCAGCATTTCTGCTGAATGATTTTGGTGTTTTTAAATTAACAAATCTTACTGACTCCATACACCACATCACAAAAGTCTTGTCGCCTATCCAGGTTTTAGAAAGAACAAATAATAACTTGACTTCTACTTGATCATTTGGTATCAAAAGTGGTTTATAGGAAAGGCAAAGCCTCTAGATTACACTTATTTTACCAAAATAAAATATGAACATGTCTTGATTAAGAATTTTTAATTAGAACAGTAAGGTTTGACTTTGCTTAGACAAAAGTGTTGTCACTTAACAAAAATAATGTACAGTGTAAAATATAAAGTCATGGTGCAGTGGAAAAATAATTAATATTGTGTATGACTTGGAGGACTGCATCTTTACATCTCTGCAATGACTCAAATAACTCATTAATAAAATCATCTGGAATGGCAAAGAAAGCATTCTTGCAGGACTCCCAGAGTTCATCAAGATTCTTTGTGTTTATCTTCAATGCCTCCTCCTTCATCTTACCCCAGACATGCTCAATAATGTTCATGTCCGGTGACTGGGTTGGCCAATTTTGGAGCACCTTGACCTTCTTTGCTTTCAGAAACTTGGATGTGGAGGCTAGAATGAGAAGGAGTGCTATCCTGCTGAAGAATTTGCCCTCCAAACCATGCTTTTTCCTTCACCAAACTTGACTGATTTCTGTAAGAATATTGGGTCCATGTGGGTTCCAATAGGTCTTCTGCAGTATTTGTGATGATTGGGATGCAGCTCAACAGACGATTGATCTAAAAAAAAATCTACCTGACACTATCTGACATTTTTCCAAATGATCAACTTGAAGTCAAGTTATTATTTGTTGCTTTTACAACTGGAATCGACGACAAGACTTTTGTCAGGCAGTGCACTTCTGTACACTTTTATATTGTTTTCTTTTTTTTAAAGGATAAGGACAAAAAACAATGGTGAATGGTTACATTTGTGTAATTCAAATTAATGCCTTAACCATCAGTAAAAGGAAACAGTCACATTACAAAGTTGCAACTTTAGTTCTCAAAATTCCTAAAAATACTCATTTGAAGCTATGTCTCACAGTCAACATTGGGTGTAATCAGTTACAAACTAACTAGTTACTGTAATTAAACTACTAGCACAGTGAAGAATGTAAAGGATTGGATTACTGTTCATTTTAGGTCACTTAATTAGTTACTTATAATGTACACTGCATGAAATACTGTAAATAAATTTAACATTTCTGAATGAATCAATTCAGAGAAGCAAAATCAACAGGGTTTCCACACTATGGATTTAAACTATTATAAATAATACAAACTTTATCAATAACAGTACCAGTGAATAGTACAAGCATTGAATTCAGCACATTTTATTAAAGTTTTTTTAAACATGACTATTTAAAACAGTAATTTGTTTTGAAAATGACACATTCAAAATATTCTTTTTAATATTAAGTGTAAGTGAAATGTTAAGTACAGCAAGATGTTTCATGGCGCTACATATGCTGGGGGAATTAAGACAAGTCCTTTAATCTGCCGTTCATGAAAGAGTGGGAACATTGAATCAATTCATTTTTTGTTATTTAGATATTTAGAACACTAATTATACTTTTCTACTAAAAAAGGCCACATTTGTCAAGAAATTAGACAAGCTTAAACAATGAATTTGTCAGAAATTAGTTTAATGACAATATACAATATGTGTGAAATATATATTGTGTCACTACTAATAAACCTTTCAGGTTTTCGATATATATAATGTTCCAAAACTCATAAACTCTTCCCAATTTTGCTGAATGATTCTCATTCATTAACTAAAGAATGCTGTTTGTTATTAAAATGCTTAAATATTGCTTTTTTAAAATAAAGGTAGGACCAAAGTTTGACTTTTTAAAATTTATATTGTCTTTTCTATGTGATTTATTCCTTATTTTAAGCAATACTAAGTCACGTGATTAAATTCCTTAAGCAATTAAATAAGTACAACTAGAACACAAATTAATAAATTACATTTTGGAAGTAACTCACCCAACACTGCCCACAATCACCCATTTCATTTCTAATAAATTCCAAAAACATAAGCATATATCCCAAAGCATTTGACTGGTATTGTATTCGTTATCATTTAGAAAAGGAGTTAACCTCTTAGTGCCCTGTATGCTCTGACTGACAGTTGGCCATACCGAGATCTAAAAAATTCCACTGCAAGTGTTGAGATGTAATCTTACCGTATTGATATCGATGCCCACAGAGGTTTGCGTCTGGCTGGAGGAGACGACTGGCAACGGAGGAAGCCCACCTCCCCCCTGTGTCTGAGTGGACGGCTGGCTAAAGAAAGCATACTGAGCCAACTGCTGCTCCAGGGTCATGGCGTCTATCGTCACTGCCTGTCAAACACAGATTCAGATTGACAGACTATTAACAGCTGAGACAGAAATGCTGCTTTTGTGGAACTAGAGCTGGGTACTGATTCAGAGGACCCGATTCGATTAGATTCTGATTCACAAGCTCTCAATATAATTCTTAATTCGGTACAATAAAATAAAATTGACTCAAATGAAATTGATATTCCTAAAAATTATCCATGAACGCTTTATTTCGATTGCATGACTACTTTAAAACAGGAAACCTCACTTTCACATGAATCGAATAAGCAGTCATGATATAAAATGGTCAAAGAACATTTGAACAAAATGAGGTGATCGAGCGTTTGCTGTTGCTGGTCCTAAACTCTGGAACAGTCTCCCGATTCACATTAGACTTTCCCCCTCCATCTCTGTGTTTAAGTCTGTTTTAAAGACCTATCTATTTTCTCTCGCTTTTAATACTCCTTGATCACTGTTTTATTGCTCTTATCTGTTAAATGCTTATTTTATATTCTGCTTCTCTGTTTTTAGCACTCCTATGTACAGCACTTTGGTCACCTTGGTTATTTTTAAATGTGCTCTATAAATAAATATTGTATTGTATTGTAAAGAAAATGGGCTCCTATTGACAGTTTTCACATGACGTCACACAATTAAGGGAACGCCACCCTGGTGGGCAAAAAATACTGTCTTTCACTGACTGTAAAATCATGTGCTTACCCAAAAAGCAGAATAATTGTAGTGCAATAACATAAAACATTACTAACCGATGAGGAGACATGTCTGGGCTGTGCTTCTTCAGAAATTCCTTCATAGAAAGAACATTTTTTAAGCAAAGTTATTGATTTGTGCCTAATGGTAGCATCATTGACCCATAGCATGGTACCAATAACTGTCAGTAGATTTATAACACACAGTTTAAACAGTTTCTATTCTAACTTGCAGGTTAAGTGCAATTTAAGTTTAACACCGTCACCAATGACTAAATTGCTGAGGAAAATCCAAAACATACATACAGATATTGCTGAATAGTAGCTCTGATGATTTTAAATTGACTGAAAATGGCTGCGGGTACATTTTGGATCGCCCAAAATGTAGAGTTTGTGATCATATCTCTATTTTGTTCTCTTAATATGCGAGCCGAATATTCGTAGCTTAAAACAGATAAAAATATCTAAAAGTTTCTATGGAATCCCAATGAAGCTGCCATTACAGCCAACTGTCTTTTGCCCGCCAGGTCTCCATACAGGTCACATGACTGAAAACTATCAATTGTGATGCACACATTTCCTAACATAAAAGCCAGGCCCATCAGGGGAAAAAACAATCCAACCCTCTCCATTGACTTTCTATTAAAGGAAGCTGCCTCCTTGTCATTTCTGACTTTTAATATAAAACTGAACAGGATCTAAAATCTGCTATGTAACAAGACATACAGTAAACAAGTTAAAAGAAACTAAAACTATGCTTTATCAGAATGTGGAACAAAGGTGATTTAAGTGACTTTAAACTTGGCATGGTTGTTGGTGCCAGACGGTCTGGTCTGAGTATTTTAGAAACTGCTGATCTACTGGGATTTTTATGCACAACCATCTCTAGGATTTACAGAGAATAGTCCGAAAAAGAGAAAATATCGAGTGAGCGGCAGTCGACTCTAAATAATGTGTGTTTAAGGACACAAAAGTGGATGCAGGTAATAAAGTAAAATAAGATGTAGCTTACTATTATGGCAGTATTCAAAAGCCTCATTCACACTATGAGCGGCGAGCAACCGTTTATTTCAATGGAGAGTGAGCGACTTCCAGCGACCTCTGTTCATGTTAGTGTCAGCGACCGTTGGCGACGAAGTGGGTGTGTCGAACGATGCAACAAAGTTGAGAATTCTTTACATTTTTGCAAATGAAGAACAACTTTCATTGAGCAACAGTCAATGAGAGCACCATTAGAGCTCATGTGATCCTCTCTCAGCTCGCTGAGAGGCCGATATTATTCTCTGTGCTGAAGACCTACAAAGACCTGCGTTTGCAGCAGGTCACCACCCAGAGCGACAGGCAGTTACAAAGTTGCTGCTAATGTGATTGAGGCTTTAAGCAGATATGCAATAGTATTATATTAGCAGGTTCTGTAGCTATTACAGCCGTGTGTTACAATGAAAATCTATATAATCTAGTTTCAAATAAACAATAATGTACAGTGGAAGTCAGAATTATTAGCCCCCCCCCCCCGAATTATTTACCCCCTGTTTATTTTTTTCCCCATTTTCTGTTTAACGGAGGGAAGATTTTTTCAACACATTTCTAAACATAATAGTTTCAATAACTAATTTCTAATGATGGACTTATTTTATTATTTCCATGATGACAGTAAATAATATTTTATTAGATATTTTTCATGACACTTCTATACAGCTTAAAGAGACATTTAAAGGATTAACTAGGTTAATTAGGTTAACTAGGCAGTTTAGGGTGATTAGGCAAGTTATTGTATATCGATGGTTTGGACTACAGAAAAAAAATAGCTTAAAGTGGCTAATAATTTCGACCTTAAAATGTTTTTTAAAAAATTGAAAACTGCTTTTATTCTAACCAAAATAAATCAAATAAAACTTTCTCCAGAAGAAAAAATATTATCAAACATACTGTGAAAATGTCCTTGCTCTGTTAAACATAATTTGGGAAAATTTAAAAAAAATAAAAATAAATTCAAAGGGGGCTAATAATTCTGACTTCAACTGTATATAACTAAAGTTATATACAAATTATATTCTTTGGTTCTTTAGAAATACAAATTAATTCAAAACTCTAGCCGGTATATTTTAACCTATTGTCAATAAGCATTTCCTGACTATCGGGCAGGGTCTCAAACGGCTAACTGGATTAACACCTATGCATCTGAATGTGTACTATTTTGTTGATGAGATTAGAGCTGGAAAAACGCAGTTTACCTGGCTGACTCCTGTACTTCCTTTGCATACTTTGTTTAGATTTGACTCCACCTCTATGTTTCACTGCCCCCCCAAAATGTATTTAAACTGAGTGCAAAGCTGCACTAGTTTAAGTTTTTGATCAACAACACAGCAACTGTGAGTTCTCATTAAAGGATTCTGCTTTGAAGATACCTGAAATATCTACTTCTTCAATTCACAACATAAAAAAAAAACATTCAAATAATTTTTAATAAAGTATTTTTATGACGCCGTTGGATCATTTGTCAAACAAAAGGAAGCTAAGAACTGCCATAGACCAATACAGTTCAATCTCTCTATATATCTCTTCATCTCAGGTTCACATAGGGCACTGATATAATCCTTTGACATGGTTAAAAATAATGAATGCTTCTCGCCGATTACGTTTCTCTGTAGCGGGCGTATCATCAGTTCTCTTATATTACACGCTACGCTCTTCTTTGGTGTCTTTAAACACTCATTTTTAGAAAACAACAGCTTATAAAAGCTTGGTTCAGTTCATTTTAGCTTGTTTACTGTACATCTTGTCACGTAGCGGCTTTCAGAGGTTGTTCTGTTTTTTGTTATAAGTCAGAAATGACAAGAAGAAATCATTTCGGAACAGAAAGTCAGATTGTTTCCCTACACCACAATTTAGAGACACTTGGTCCCCAAGGTTAGATATACCACATATACCCACATGGATATACATAGATACTAAATAAATCAAATGAATTCTCCATATATTAATAAAGCATATTCCGCAGGGAGTATTGAATTCTTTAAATTATGAGCATAAACAGTGTATTATCAGGCTGGTGTCATTTATTATACACAGTTAATGTTTCCAAATTGCTTTCACTTTAGACCTAACAAGCTGTTTACATCATGGGTCTCAAACTCAATTCCTCGAGGGCCGCAGCTCTGCACAGTTTTGCTTTAACCCTTTCAAAACCAGCTGATCCAATTAATCAAGGTGTTCAAAAGAGTCTTGAACACCTTCATTAGTTGAACCAGCTGTGTTTGATTAGGGTTGGAGCAAAACTGTGCAGAGCTACAAGCTACAAACTACAAGATTATGCATTTTGACACTTAAGCAAGTATTTGACTTTTCCACAAAGCCATAAAAGAGAAGTAAATTTAGCACTTTAACACGCATGCTGAGGTGTCTCTTTCATTGTTATTAATTACTCATCAAACACTTACTTTTTTCATGCTCAGTCGTGTTTCTTTGCTATATTAATGTGCATAAATAAACTAAAGTTTATTTGTTTACAAATAAACTTTAGTCTATTTTCATCATTAATACACATTACTCAGGCTTTATCCTAACATGCTCTTGTATCCCATACTTAGAAAACTCCTGAAATGGAGAATATAGGGGAGGGGAATGGTCTGCTTTTCAAAATCTGCATAGAATGAAACAGTTTTTTTTTTTTTTTTTTTTTTAAGTTTAATAGTAGAATATATATTTTCCCCCCAGGTTTGCGTGCAGTGTTACCTGTGCTAGAGAGAGTGGAGGAGAGAGGGTGGGTGACAGCTGCTGAAGACCTGGAAGCTGCTGAGAGTCTGTGTTGAGGTTCAGAGGAACTACATTCTCATGCCGGCGCTGAACTGTGGCTGTGGGCTGGCCTGATGTCACACCTCAGGAGAGAAAGCAGGTCAACACTAGACATCACATTCGAGAATAAATTAGCTCTTATGTGAATTAGATAATGTTTTTAGACATTTATTTTGCCTTTTTTTAAACAATGGCTGAATATTTGTATTTAAACTTTTATTTGCCTCTTTATGATGGATAAAATCATTTGGTAACTGAATAAATGTGAATGGATTAAATATAAGATATTCAAAGACAAATGTTACTGAATGATTTTAAACTACATTTATGCATTTAGCGGATACCTTTTTATTCAAAGTAATTTCCCAAAGAATAGTGAAAGCAATTCCTCAAAGAGCTAACAGTATTTGTAATATACAATACTAGGTTTTAATGGGGAAACTATTTTTGAAACAGCTAAACTGTATGTCTACGTATATCAATCTCTCTCATAAATGATATGACATGTATAGAAAACACATTTAAAATGTCATAGGCAGTTTAATAATGAATATTTTAGTTACGCTTATCTCAAAAACAATCTTCATTGCTGAAATTGTGTGAATTTGTACAGTTATCCATTAAATTACGAATATTTGTAGGAGTAGTTTGTTTGTTAATTTTTGTTGGTTCAGTCTGATCCCTGAATACCATCCAGCTCCTTAAACTTCTTATATTATTAGTTACAGCTATATGTAAACATGAATCACAAAATCCATCATAAGTGTGACATTTTTGAAATTGAGATTTAGACATCAACTGAAAGTTGAATAAATAACCTTAGGTCACATAATTACAATTTCTTAAAATACACTTGACTAAAATACTGTGCATATATTCAGTTCATGATCAGTTCAGAGAAGCAAATTAATTGTAAATATGTAATTTTTTTTATTATTCAAATATATTTGCAGCATAACTCAATTTATTTCATATGATTACACATGCTTAAGAAATAATGATTTTAGAAGAAAATTAATGTCAATATATCATATCATGTATGAAATATGGTGTAATTATGTTTTTATTTAAGAAAGTTTAATAATTCATAAATGTTAAATAAATCTAAAAGACCCAATCAAATTTGTAAAAAATCGAAGTGTTTAACTTGTGCATTCTGTATGCTTTGAGATTTGCAGTGCTCAGCATATAAGTACACCCGTCACAAATCTATCTTTTAAATTCATGTTTTTAATAGGAAGCTATGGAACATTAGATTTGTGCATATACATTAGATTAGTCAGTACTAGGGGTGTAACGATACACAAAAGGCACGGTTCGGTTCGGTTCACGGTTTTGGAGCCACGGTTCGGTTCGGTTCGGTACGGTACGGTTCGGTTTCTGTTTGCTGTGGGGTTAGGGTTGATGTCATGTTAACAGCAATGCTAAGGGACAATTCACTTAATAACAAAAACATCTTAACTTTTTCTTTATTAACTTTGTCATCGCATTTTTAGTACAGTCAGGATACCCGAGTAAACAACTAGAATTAAATAAATACCTCCAATATAGACTAGTCAGAAAAAAACTATTCTCTTTAGTGCAGCCATCTTAACTAAGTAAACTAAAATTAAATAAATAACTGTAGTGTAGACTAGTGAAAGATCTTCTTCAAAAACACCATAATATCCACATTCTCAGGTGAGAGGCTTGATCTCTGTGCAGACACAGACGCTCATTTTTGATTATATGGTTTCATTTAGATAGATAGGTTTCCGTTTAAATTAATAAAAAATATACATATACTGTGTTTGTAAAGTGTTTTTTCATGACATATTCACCAGTAAAATGCATTGCGGTTGTGTCTGAAACTAATGTTAGGGTTGTAGCCGGCTGTATGTTTGCCTCCCGATCTCTCTCTCTCTCTCTCTCTCTCTCTCCCGCTCCCTCTATGCCGGTCATTTATGCACTGTAGGTCCGCCTTAACGACAGCTGCTGCCTGTCATTTCTGTAGGTCCGCCTTTTTGACAGCTGATTGGTCAGGAGACCGATCTATCATCATTTGGCAACGCAGCGCGGGAATGTAAAAAGCATGTCAGGAAGAGCGGGAGAGAGAGCGCTTTTTCCTTTGATCTCGTTTTTCGTGTATTTTTCTGACATGATTATGATTTTCGTTGTTTTTGCTTAACTTTCGTTTGGGTAAAATTATTTTGCATTACTTTTGCCCACTTCAAGAAATTTTGTGAGGTTTGTACATTTTTATTTCAATTGATTTGTATATTATCCGCTCCTTCCCGACAATATAGCTGTATCTCCTCAAGTTCACTCTTAGTGTAAGGTGGATAGGGAAAATGTCATACGATTTCCATTTTGCAAACACGTAGAAAATGTATTGTTAAAGACATCAGGTAAGAGGTGAAGGTCATCTTTGTTTATTTTATTCAGTATAGGGAAGAATGCGGCGCGTGGCGCTGAAGACCTTTTTTTTCTTTTCATCAGTTTTAGCGAGGTAAGAGGGGTTATTCATGACTTAGAATTGTTTTATTATATTTATTTCTTTTGTTTGTCTTCACTATCACCCCCTTGCTCGAGATTAACTAATTTTTGTTTGATACCTTTGTTTATTTTTGTTACTTTATTATATTATTTTTATTAGTGTAAATATTTCTGTTTTTTGTATATTTGGGCATTATTCTGGTTTTACTTTTGTACATTAAATCACTTTTGTTGGCAGTTCTGTTGCTTACACCCTCACATTGTGAAATTACCACACTTTTTAAATGTTTTTCCTTACAAGTAAGTTTCGTGAAACTTGAGACAGACAGGCGTGCACTTTGTCTACGACACGAATTCTATTCCTGTACTCAACTGGAAAACCAAAATGTTTCCACACAGATGACTTAAATGTGTCTGGGGGATCTGCAATCTCAGTACTATGTGAAGCAGCCATCCTGCGTCCAGTAGTAACGAGTGTGATGCTCACTCAAGTCACATGACATAACATGCACTAAAATACTAACTTTAGAATATAATATTTAGAACAAATCCTCATCATTACTAAAACAATTTAATCAAATATGATATTAAAGATGTGTTTAAATTGGTTCAATTAGTTAGAGACAAGTGACGTCAACCTCAACAATGGGCAGCAGGGGGCGTGAGAGTATCGTGGTACGCCACGAGAGTTTCGCGATACGTATCGTGGTTGGTGTATCGCGATATTTCGGTTCGGTTTTAATATAGTTACACCCTTAGTCAGTACTGAAGCCGAATCTGGAGCTTATCTAATAAAATAACCTCAGATAACTGTCCAAGAACTAGTACAGACAAATTTATGTTATAGAAAAATATTGAATACAAATTTTAAAAAGAGGAAAAATCAAGATACAATCTTAAATTTAGTTCAAATTTTGTAGGTTGTAACTTATTTTTGCAATATTTTGCTTGAATTTAATATTATTATCTTTCCATTTCTAAATGTTTGGTGACTAAAATATTATTTTATTAAATATATCTGTTTAATAAGTCTGTCTTGTTTAAATGCACCAAAATAAATTGCCTATATTTACTAAGAAATGGATAAAAATATACATTTTCAAAATGGGGTGCACTCAATTATGCTGAGCACTGTAAAGACATTAAGTAGCATTGAGTGAAGCAATTAAATTACTTATTGATTAAGTTACCTTTCAGACAAAGTAATTAGAAAGTAATTTTAAAAAAATTTAATGAAGTAATTAATAGTAGTTAAATAATAACTGTTTTACCTAATTTACCTAATACTGAATCCTACAGGACATGTATAAAATCTAAGCATACTCTGGGCCTCAGCCTACAAGTGGGGCTTAACAATTTGGCCAATTAGGGGCCTTTGAACTTCTGTTTTAACACTGGAACTAACATAATTCTATTCTACTAGAATTACCATAGCAGCCATTTTGACCGTTCTCCTATAGACGTCATATTGTCACATCATATTTACATTCAAAGCTTCTATTGAGATATTAAAACTAAGCTTTGAACGTCTGACGTCAATTTAGCTAGGCAAAAGTGGCACTTATACTTAAAGTCACATGTAAAAGTAGACATTTTGATCACTATGAAAATTATAGAAATAGGTATAAATACTGATAGCTCTTTTGTGTTTTGTAATTTGATAAGATTACAATGTTAGAACGAAATATACACATATTTAGGAAAAGTCTGGGTGTTATAAGTGTGTATTTTATTTCAAAGTTATTTAAATGCAAAAATTAAAAATGACTAAATCAAAATGACCACCTTGCTAGTTCTAGTGTTAATGTCTGAGGTTATGACAATCACCTTGACCGGCAGATGTAAGGCCCATGTGAGGGTTGGCGAGGTTGCCAGTGCTGTTGGAGGCACTGAGAGAGGACGAGGAGTCCTCAGGGTCCAAAGGTGTGGGGAGAGGAGGAGGAATCTGAATGTTGGTCAGGTCTGGCAGAGAGCCGCCAGTATTGTGTGCCACTGGGATTAGAGATGCGGTAATTTCCTGATCTGGAGACGGAAATATACTGGAGAAAGGAGACGAGGGAGGTTAGAAAATGTAGGATAAACAGATCTACAATAAAAGCTCACTGTACCGATTACAATACGATAAAACAAAGCTGTTAAAAAAGGAAGTGATACATAAAAATTACCATTAAGTTGAAAAATTAATGCAACATCGCTTGCTTAAATGAACATTTTACTCTGCAACCTCAGAAAGATAGATGCTGCAATGTTCTTTCCATTTGTCTAAGCTCTACTTTTTAGCTACAGGCTTAGGACAATACAAAGTAACCACACTTACTTGATTCCAGGTATTTTGTTTGACTTGGGCCTTTGCGAAGTGTTCTATAAAATATGATAAATAGAGCGTGTTGATTAAATATTACATGAAAACATGCTAAATAAATTAGGGCTCCACAATATTGGAAAAAAAACTGATATTGCAATATTTTTTTTCTGGAATACATATTTCAATATTGAATATTATTTCACCTGATGAAACAAATAGCTCTATTTGGAAAGAATATACATCATTCTACAATGATTAGGATGATTTGGCAGAGTGCATCTACATTAAACATAATAAATCAACCACAAATATTAATAAAAACAGTAGAGCAAAGCTATCAATGAAAACACTGAAAAAAAAACTTTTTTTTTTTTCTGAGAATCTAGCAGTATTCAGGTACACAAATGGAATAATCAAATGTAAAATTACAGTGTACTTTTTATTGAGTTTGTATATATACTTAAATACAATTAATCTTTCTTTATTATTAATCTTTATTAGGGATGCATCAATATCATTTTTTTGGAACCGATCTGATCTCGATACCAAAATTCTGAGTATCGATCAATACAGATCTGATCCCGATACTGCCGTTTTTTGTTGTTGTTTTAACATAATACAGTTTCTATAGTTCTGGTGATAAAGTCAAATAATATATCTTATTTAGTAAAAATAACAGACCTATAGGCCTACTGTATATGACAGATGGCACAATCTAACTAAACACGATGCTTGCTACAAACTATAGGCTACATTATTTAAGCATTCACTATGACAATGATATGATCTGTTGTGGTCCAGCTATTGTTTGCGATCTGCTAGTCTAACAGACTCAGCGCAACATGATTTAAAAACAGCAATGATCTCCATGTTGCAGATCAAAATGAACCCATTTAATACAAAACTAAATGGATTTCCCCACCGATTACTTATATTAACAGAAACAATTAGCCTTGGAGAAAGTTTTTTGTGCTGTCATGAACGCGGCGCACAGTTTGAATGAATGGAGAATGATTGACAGGTGCAGCTGCAGAAAGCGTTGAAGTAAACATGAACTTAAGCACTTGAATATTCATCTGTACCTCACATTTAACTATAGAATGGCTTCAAAATATTTAGCATATAGTAGGCCTACATGACAACTTTCTAGTGCCTTTTAATAGGCTACCTTCGTGGCTTTTGTTGGCTTATAAATTACACAGAATATAGTGCACGCGCAAGATCTGATTTGGATCAGCTGGCCGATACCCGATGCAGCAAAAATATGTGGTACCGAACCGATATCCAATCGAAGTATCGGGATTGGTGCAACCCTAAACATTATAATTGCAGTTCTGCATAGTTTAGCTCCAATCACCTTCAGCTCCACCTGATTAATAGTCTCTAGTAGTCTTGAACACCTTGATTAGTTGGATAAGCTGTGTTTGATTAGGGTTGGAGCAAAACTGTACAGAGCTGCAGCCCTCTAGAAATTGAGTTTGAGACCTATGGTGTAAATGCTTACACAATCACAGGCCTTAAAAACACAAACACAATCAACTGTGGTTCCTGGTCAACTATAATCCCGCCTCAACATTGTAGATCCTCCTATATGACTACTGCAGATGATGAAACAATATATTGTGCAGTCCTAAAAGAAATGGTAAATGAAACGTACCTTTTTTTGATCCCATATCTGCTTTTGACTTTCTTTGTCCATGTCACTATCGGGGTCCCCTGTTCCTGGCATAGTGAGAAGAAGAACTATACACAGAGAGGGATGAAATCATGAACTGAAACAGGTGTGGAGAGAATTTGTAGAACAGTTTGTAGTTTTATTATATAAAATAAAATAGATACAAATTTTGCTTTTAAATAAATATAAAGAAAAATCGAATAAGCAAACCTTGTTTTGGCTGCAAATCTTGAGAACCTCCTGCAAATGCATCCTGTGGGTTTGGGTTCAAAGTGCTCTGATGCAAGGCAGAGTCTGAGTTGGTCCTGCAGAGCAAGCATAAGGAAATTACTTTGAGACAAACACAATCAAAGTTATATTCAATAACATCCTGGATCTCTAGTTCTCAAAGTTTCAAAAAATGCACCCTTTCTAATAAAAGTAATTCATTTTACACCACTGAGCTAAATTTTAAACTTCATCATTTGTTTCTAGCCAATGGCGCATGTGTTCATGTGATAGTCGAGATACGATGTATGATATCGAACAATCATAGACAAAAGCACCATTTTAAGATGTATGCCAATACAACTCACTTCTGTTTAAAATTCACTCCAAAAAGAGACATCAGTTCTCAATTAGGATGGTCTGACGGTAAGGTAATTATGGGATGACTTTTATTTTGGGGTGAACAATTGTTTTAAAGAATAACAGGAGGTAACAGCATCGACTAACTCAGTGTTTCTCAACCACGTTCCTGGAGGACCACCAACACTGCATGTTTTGAATGTCTCCTTTGTCTGTCACACCTGTTACGGGTCTTTCAGTCTTAAGCTGATGATCATGATCAGAATGTTTGGTTAAGGAGACATGGAAAATGTGTAGAGCTGGTGGGCCTAAGGAACATGGTTGAGAAACACCGACCTAACTAAAACTACAAAGTTTATATCAGACGACAACATATAAATGCAAAAAAAAAAAACATAAACAAATGTTGGAGAATTACTAACATTAAATAGGCTAACTTAATCTTATCAAAACATCTCAGAATGTGACGTCTTCAGTGTTTCCATCAAATCTTTACCTTGAATTTTTTTAATTAAATAAAAACATGAAATAATGAGAGGTGAATTTGGATGTGCTTTCATTTTAAGAGACTATAGAGGGGTATTCAATATTATTATTAAAAATATATAATAATAATGCACAATATATAATTCACATACACTCATGCTACTATTTAAAAGCTGTTTAATAAATAGAAGAGGCCTAACGGATAATTATTTACATACTGCTTTTAGCTCCTATCTGGATTACTAGACCTGCAAATATGTACAGTCTTCAGCACATGCAAATAGACAGCGTGAGTGTAAACTCTCACCTCCTCCAGCTGGTATCAGGTGGGGGTGACAGATACACAGAGGCATATGGACAGCTATCAATGTGAGATTCAACATTAAGGACTTTATAAAGTTGGAAGTGAATAGCAGAAATGTGAGTGTAAATATGCTTCTAAATGCATTGTAGCACAGAAATCCTGCCTGCATATAAGGCTATGTTTACATTTCCAACAACATTATAGCCAAAAACCAAAGACAAAAATTTTATAGCCAAAGTTTTCCCTTGGTTTTAAAAAAGCTTCACGTATCAAATGATACACTTCTATACATCTGTAAGAATGACCACAAAAAAAGTAGGATCTATGCCAAGCTAATATTTAGTGCTGTAAACAGTACCTGAAGAGAAGTGAGGACATGTCTAAGGTGGCTCGGCACTGATGTGTATGTAGATGTGGCATGAGCTTTTGGTTGTAATGTGAAGTAAATCCACACTTTGTTGAATGAAGCGTTACATAACACAACTAAGTGACTACACCATTGTTGTGTTTCTTTCCCTAAACATGTACTATGCATGCACAAGCATGCAAGTCATTTTTAAAGACTCGTTTTCAGGTGTTTACACTGACATATTTTTGATTTTGTCCAATTTGTTTTCGGTTTATGTGCTTAGAGCCACAAAAAAGCCATTGCCGTGGATACAAACAGGCAAAAGGCACTAAACAAATTCATTTTTGGCTTAAAATGTTGTATAAATGGTCTCTAAGAGGAGACTAATCAAGGATATTTGACGTCCATGTTTGTCCACAGAAAGGGGTCTGCGGTGTGGCGATGTGATGCGATTCCTATCCCGATAAACCCTGTCCACTAGTCCATGGTGACGAGTCGTTCTACTTGTGTCCAGTCCAGAGTTCTGAAAAGGAGTCTGATCAAAAATAAATAAGATGAAACTCCACTGGTATTTCACAGAACTATTCATACTTGTTTTTCAGTCATCACCTGAAAGGGCAGGTCAACTGTGGTGTTTCCAATCTGATTGACATTTGGCAAAGAGCCGCCGTAGTACTGTCCTCGGTTCTGACCAAGCTGTAAATACTGGGTCTTCTGTAACTGTAACTGTAAGACATCAAACAAATGACAAAGAAGTGGTATTACACATCTTTAAAATGTAAACACAATAAATTCCAAGAGTGATATTTCTCATTTACTATTGACTATAAATTGATACGTTTCTCAAGGAGACTCAGATGAATTGTTTGAATATTCAGTCATTCTAGAATCTTTCTAAACAATTTGCAGCATTGCATTTGTATCTTCACACTGCAAAAACCCATGTGTAGGCGGTATTAACAATTAAATAGCTTATTGATGAACTGCTGTTTATGTCCAGCACTTTGGTCAGTCTTGTAACTGTTTTTAAATGTGCTTTATAGATGAACTTGTCTTGAACTTGAACTGGTCCTTTCTTTGTATATTGGCTTAAAGAGATAGCTTTGTTTAGTAGTGCCAAGGCCTAAATACCTTTATCATTGAACAGATTGTTTAAAGAGACAATATCTCTCTAGTACTTCACTTCAATGTTTAAAACACATCCAGCAATATTTGGCCCTGCATAAAGGTTTAATATTTAAACATAGATTATGCATATGATGCAGATTTTAAATATGGTAAAAAGGAAAATTCAAACACCAAAAAAGAGACAATAATGGAAACTAAAAGAAATTAAATTAATTTAAAAAAAAAAATAAATAATAATAATAATAATAATAATAATAATAATAATAATAATAGTAAATAATAATAAATAAAGATTCTGAAAATATGTCCAAACTGACTTAAAATAAATAATAAAGCATTATCATTCACATGTAAGCATGCATCAACATGAAAAGTAACAAAACTGTTCAGACAGGAACAGACTGAAAAGTTAAACAACAGCACAGAGAAAACAGGGTCACGCTGAAATGGGTAGTATTTAGCCTGAATCCTTGGTGGGATGTTTGTAAAGTGCTGCAGGCAATGTCAGTGCAATCACAACCCTGTCGTGTCTACATATTTTGTTAGAGTCCTGAATGCATCAGTGCATTGAGCAATACTGTTAAACCGGGCAAATACACTGTTGTGCATGGTTTAATTTTCCACGCTGTGCAGGTAAACATCCATAAATCATTCGAGTTTATTCCTCCATCATCGAAAGACAGATGAGATGAATGTGCATTTGTGTATGTGTAACATAATATGCTAAATCGTGTCCAGCAATGGATATGGCCTTGATCACAGTCCAGCTATAATGGCGAGAGACTGTAATGTGGCTGTCAAACACACATGCTCAATCCATTCACTCTCACAGACTGCAGCTGTGAGCATGGCAACTTTTATAAGGCCTCGTCGTGACCGTCTGCTTATTGTCAAATATCGCAACACTGTCCACGGGAAAGCGATCCGTTCATCAACGCTTGTGGTAAACGCGCCCAGGAGAGGGGCGTTTGTTATTGTTTACGTCCAGACAGGCGGGTTCAGTGCGTGTCGTATCAACACAAAATCTGCCCCGCACATCGGGCTGCTAATCAGTGCTGTCATAAGAGAGAAAACAGACACACTTACACGGGCCGCCCGAGTGATACTCAGGTCTTTCATCACCTCCTCGAAAGCAGCTGTCTCTTCCGCTTGCTTCTGGTTGTGTAACGCGATCTTTTCGCTGAATTTTCGCGGATTATTCGAGGTCGCCATGTTTCGCTCCTCTTGGGCTCCGCTCTGGTTCAATGAGACGCTGCTGCGTGCGCGCGTCCGTGCGCGTGGGCGTTGAGACCACGCACATCTGGAGCGCGCGGGTCCTCGTCTGTTCTACACAGAGATTCGAGGATTATGTGAACGAATGAAGATTAGAAACAGGGATTTAGCCATTCTGCTTCTGATTCTGTCGGTTCTATAATCGGTAAATCCAATGGCTGAAGAAATACTACTGCACAGCTGAGAAATCATTTGATGAGATTACTTCAGAACAGAACAGAACAGAACAGATAACGAATCAATCAAAATCTTGTAAAGGTGTGTGTCATGCAGTTCTATTATTTATCCTGGTCGCATTAGTATAAATACTAAAAATATATCGCTTTCTATAAATTATGCTAAATGTAACCCTTTCAGAAAACGAATAGCATCAGGGATGAAAAAAATGAAAGTACTTTTTCTTCATAGTCCGATTATTTAATGGGTGTTTTGGTTTGGTAAATCAACCCTATCAAATCCACCTCTTCGAGAATCTCACAAGTCTTTAATGTTGCTCATTCTGAATGCAGATTCATGGGAGTTGTTTGCTCGGGAATCACACTAGCCATGAACGTTGACTGTATAAAAAGAACCGGTTCAGGGGAATTGAATGTTTGGGAATCACATTGGTCGTGGTGAATGTTGTTGAGTCGGTAAAATGAACCAGTTTATGGTTGTTCGGGATTAGACACTGAACATACTGGATAAGCTTGTCGGATGGTCATCATCACCACATTTACAAAAGATTTAGAATTTAAAAATTTGGGAAAAAATACTTATTTTTGAAATACAAATGTATTACATTATTGCATATCATTAGAAAAATAATAGGAATCTGTTAAAGTTTAAAATTAAAAACTGTTGCTGATTGGCTTTTATTTGGCAAACAACAAACTGGCCAGCACATTCAACTTTCATCAGTCAGAATTTGGCTGTTTGAATAAAAAATAATTAAAACATAATAATAGGGTAGAACTTTACAATTTTCTAGCCTTTTCTTTAAAAAAGTACATTTGAAAATTGATGTCTAATCACAATAGCCAAAACAGCATTTAAATTCATTTTAATGTAGTCCACTTTTGGTGCTTTTTATTGGTCATTTTTTGTTTTAAGAATAAAAATAAGGTCCAAGATTCAGAATAAAAGTCACTCGTAAAATGTTTTCTCTTTTTATAAACAATACAGTAGCAAAAGATGACTTTATGTCAGATTGTATGTTTTCTTGCACAGCTGGATGTTGGACTCATGAAAAATAATAGTTTGCATTAGCCAAAACTGATTAGCTGAAGTCACACTGATGTGGCAATCAACAGAGGATTCCGCTTGATCTTAAAAGCCTTTTTCGATGGCTTATTTTCACTATTTATGATGGCGTAGCAGTCAAAATAGGATAAGTGAGCTCATCATGCATGGGATAAATTCTGGACCTTTGTCAGTGAGGGGTGGGTCTACCAAACCACCCGAATCCCCCTGGCTATAGGTCTGCTGTATATGTTTACTGACTAAAATATAAGGTAAATAAAAAATAAAATGAAATCCTTTCCTAACTAAAAAAATAAATACAGTAGTTTTACTACACATGACAAAAATAGATAAAATTGTTCATTAATCGTTAATAATAATAATAATAAACCTTATTTTTATACAGGCCTTTAAAAGTAGCATCTCAAGGCGCCTTACAGATATAAAATGTGCAGCAGAAAGACACACAAGCATGAATGCAAAAATTAAAACACACCAAATAATAATAATAATAATAATAATAATATTAATAATAATAATAATAGATCTAAAAATCATATAAAACCATTAAACAAAAAAACATTAAATCAAATAACCACACATTCAACATAGTTTGCTACACTACAGTTTAACAAAAGGCCTATGCTTGTAGTAATACAAAAAGTAATCAATATGGCAAAAATGGTATATGTGCTTTACCCTGATAAAACCATGTGTTTTTTGTAGGGATAAACGTCAATCTGCAGTCTACCAGAATTTAAATATTTCATTGTTCGTGATGCAGTTTTATTTGCGTGCTAAGATAATCTGTGATGTTTAGTTAGGCTGTTGCTTTTTGGCTTGTTAAATGTAGCTAGCACACAGTGAATTAGATCAACATCAACCATTTCAACTCTTGTAAAGTAAACAGTTCAGTGCAAACACATAATATAAGGAAGGAAGTGTTTTACAGCCACTGGGGAATTTTTAAAAGAGAAACAGAAGTTCTGTATAGTTAAGATAACAGTCAGCGAGATGTTTCAAAATCGACAAGCCGACGTGTCTGTCAAGTCATATATTTGTAGTGCTTTAAAGTGCAGATTGTATCATAGCAGCTTCAAAGAGATAAACAGGCAAAAAAAGCATCAATCTATCTATCTATCTATCTATCTATCTATCTATCTATCTATCTATCTATCTATCTATCTATCTATCTATCTATCTATCTATCTATCTATCTATCTATCTATCTATCTATCTATCTATCTATCTATCTATCTATCTATCTATCTATCTATCTATCTATCTATCTATCTATCTATCTATCTATCTATCTATCTATCTATCTATCTATCTATCTATCTATCTATCTATCTCTGAGTTATTTGATTAAAAAAAATTAGGTGGCAATTCAGCTCTTCCTAAAAATGTGACCTGAAGGTGGAGCTGTTGTTTTTACAGGCTAACAAGCTAATTTAGCTCCTGTTTATCTGAGCAAGGCTAACACTGGAAAATCCAGTTTGTACGTTTATTCTACTAAATTAGGCTAAATATTTAAACACGAGCGTCTGTTTTGTTTGATCTGTTTACACAACAGCTTTAAAAAAAAACACAATTTCCAAGGAATCCGGCATAATGTTCCTCATGTCATGGATGCAAACTATGCATTTGAGTTAGGGGTTTTCCTAGCTGCTACTGGAAATGTAATATGTAAATGCTAGTCCACTGACAAGTAACTAAACAAGTGACTTGCTGTGAATTTCACATTTTCACATTTTAACCTAAAATAATCACACAAATATCAATCATTTTGAAGGAAAGTGCACTATTTTCAACACCAGGGGGCGATATAAGCTCAATCGATCAGGCGCCATTTGTTGCTTGTTTGATTGATTTGATTTGTTTGTTTATATTATGTGGATATTATTTTGCCCTTTTCTGAAACCGTATACATATTGTACAGTAGTCCCCCTTAAAACTGCGAGCAATGGTATAATTATTGAGTTAACTGGTCTTGCAATGCTAGCATAACTTAGTTCCTATTTTTAACAGAGGATAAAATGTCTATCAGCATAACCAAGAAGATTTGGGTTACTTTCACAAGTTTAGCTTTTTTTCTACTTCAGTTTGAAGCCTTCATCTGGTCAAGCAGCTTTCATTTCTCTATTCATTTTTAGTCGCATTCAGCTATTCTGGCACTGTTACCAGCGTTCATATATTGGATGAACTACTGAAACTCTTTTTGATCATCACTGGATTAAAAGTATGCAACAAATGGCATATTTCATGAATAGATATTTGCATATCATTTATAGCTCATATTAAAATGAACCCACAAACCTCATTTTCAGAACAACTGAATAACTGTTATAGCAAGACAACAGGAAGAATGATTGTGTGTGTGGGGGGGAGGATTTCCAGGTTGCATGACTTCTGAATTGAAAGAGGAACTTTATATGGCTTTCTGTAAAAAGAAACACCAAACGACAGTTTGGCCATTTCTTCCAGCTGTCAAACGGACATAGGTGATATAAGTTCACCTACACATTTTGGTAAGGATATTTCTGTTACCAAAATATTATTTTTTAATTATTTGTATTAACATTTAATTGTTTGATAAATTTCAGCATACATGACGATACTAAAATGATTGTCACTTTATTTTGAGTGTTTGCTTTCACTGTAGATTACAATAACACAATTCATCAATCGTTTTTAGATCATGGATGTAAATCGCACTTGCTCAGGAGTTAATTCTACAGAGAGTTGCACTCCTGAAAACCAATCTTCTGTTGGACTTGCTGTTGGCTTGCCTATATTCTTTGTAATCTTGTTGCTGGCGGGGATAGCAGCACTATTGTGGTTTCGAAGCAGAAAATCAGTTTCTAACGTCGAGTTATCTAATAAACTTAAGAGCCAAGATAACAGCCACATGGATCATTCCAGGGATTCTCCGTACAGTGGATACGCCGGAGGGCCTCAAGCCACACCACAGAGCCCAATCTATGAGAACTTTCAGAGCGGACAGTCCAGTCAGCATCAGTTTCAGAGGAGTGCCGTACAACATGAGGACAAGCACAGGTAAAGGACAAGCTATTTTGATAGTACCCTTTAAAGATCTTATTGACAAAAAGAAAAAAAATTGTAATACATCTGTTAAACATCCAGCAGCCATTACACTCTTAAAAATAAAGATACCAAGAACAGTTTTGGCTATACAGTGTTATATTTTGAATGGATGAACCATTTAGTTACAGTGGAAGGACAATTTATAATATTAAGAACACTTTTTCTATAAAGAACAATGTTATTTGGAGGTCGGTTCTCCATGGAACCATCAATGTCAGTAATAAACATTTAATACAGTTTAAAGAGACTCTCTTGCTAACACTTTGTTTTGATGGTCCCTCCAGAACATTATTTTAATAACCTTAACCAAACAGTCAAGTCTACATAATAGCAAAGTTACTAAAGTGAACAGAACATCAAATTAATAACCCAAAATACCTGTGTATCCCAAAAGTCAAATTTAGACTGAGAAACTGGGTGATGATAAAACTGCAAAGTCTTAGAAGTCAAATGGAAATTCCCGCTAAGTTTAATTTGCTGGCTGTTTTGCAAGATCTCGCTGACATCATTAACGTGTGGCAATAGTGGTAACTGTCAGCGAGAGCTACTTGAAAGGAGTTTTTATTTTGTTGTAACATTTGTTGGGTTAACTGCTAGTGGGTTTTCATGAGCTGATTTTCACTTTTGCCCCCATTCAGAGTCCACCAGGCGCACCTGCAGTGTGATCCGCATGATGCAATCTACAGTAACGATCCTGCCCTCTTCCACCCAGATCAGACAGAAATCTCGGAGGATGTTTACATCATGCCAGATGCTTGAACGCCTGACATTGCTTGCTGTCCAGTATTATTTCTTAAAATGTAAATTAGAAAAATTTGTTCTGGCATGATGTGAAATAGTAAGTCTTTAGTTTCAGAGGGAAAAACACCATATATCATTTTATCTGAATGGAAATGTATAGGGTGTAGACGTTCTTCTGTTGTATTATAAACACTTTAATAGGGTAGTTCAACCAAAAAAAGGAACATTTACTCGCTGTTTACTCAACCTTAAGTGGTTTCAACCCTTTATGAGTTTATTTCTTCTGTTAAACACAAAAGAAGACTGTTGGAAACCGGTAACCATTGACTTCCATTGTTGGAAAACAAATACACTACTATGGATGTCAGTGGTTACAGGTTTGTAAACACCATCTTCTTTGGTGTTCAACAGAAGAAAGAAAATCATAAAGGTTTGGAACCAGTAAAAGAAAAGTAAAGAATGACAGAATATTCAGTTGTGGGTGAACTTTCCCATTAAGATTTGTTTGAAAGAACCACTTACTATTCATTCAGTTTTACTTTATTTTACATAAAATAGTTTAAACTTTGAATAAATGTGCTCCAAATATAAAAATAACTTTTAAAGTACAATCTGAACACACTCTAAAACAAGTTATAATCTTGATCTTTCCAATGCAAACATCTAAAGATTCTTAAATCGCTACATTTACTAAAAAGTTTCTGTGAAACCGATAGAAATGATAAAGAGTTCATGGTAAAAACAAGAACAAATATCTGTCAATGGGCTCTGAAAGTCAACTCAAGTCATTTCTATTGCAATAACCGATATTTGTTTTTGCTTGCTTAACTCAATTTCGTTGTATTTAATAAAAAACAAGACCTAATATCTTTACTTTGCATCTCAAGAAAGTGCATCTTGATTTAAGGAATTTTAGATATTTGTATGGGAACAGAAGAGCAATGTTTTGATCTTGTGGTTGCTTTTTGCAGTGCATGCAACATTTGTAAGATTTTCTGCTCTAATATAAGTCATTTTAAAGGCCTTAAAACGTTGAAGAGTAAGAAAACATTTTTTTCCAACATATCATTTTGAACTGAGTGATTGGAATGCCCTCACAAACATTACATCAACCAACCTTTTCTGTATTGACTGAACTCAGTGAGACAGCAAAACATAATCATGACCTGACTGATCACAGTTTAACAGGTGTCTCTGTCCATTTCATGCTGGTACAGACTGGTTTATGCTGGCTTGGTTGACCAACATAGTGTTTTCCTCCAGAAATGCTTGTCTATATTTTCAAACACAGTTCCTTACGTAAATCTGTTACAGTTTCTTCAACAACAAAATGCATTACGACTATTTTATTATTAACAGTAATAAGAAATGTTTCTTGAGCTCAAAATCAGCATAGAGTGATCTCCAAAGGATTATGTGGAAAAAGAAATGTAATATTATTTCACAGAAGTACAGTTTTTGCTGTATTAATGATCAACATCGGTCCACAAACATTCAAAACCCACTAAGCCCAAATTGCAGTAATGGTAGAGAGTGTCCACGTTGTGTAACACGCCACATATTTCATAAGAATCTTTTTTCTCATGCTTTTAAATGTATTAGTTGACTTTAATAATCATCCAGACTGTGTCTTTTTATTTTTATGTCACTGTGACTCATTGAAATCGGCTTTCTTTAGCTACAAATTAGCTGAGATGACTAAACGAAAGAAGTGGAACATTAAACAGTAGGTCAGCTCATATGGCAGTTCGGTGTCAGAATGTCTCAATGAGAGACGGAGAAAGCTTGACCTAATCATAAACATTTCTCTGAAATGTAGGTTTTTTCAGTTGCTGCATATCCTGTTAACAAGTCACTGTGTCATTTCCCAATCTTAGATCAATGAGATTGTTGATCACATTAAATGAACTTTAATTTACCTCAGTAGTCATGAGAAGGCTATTCTTCCAAATTACATTAGAATTGCATCAGAAACATTACGCTGAGTCAGTCCCATTAAAGGGACAGTTCAACCAAAAATGAAAATTTGCTGCAATGTACTCACGCCGTTAAAAATGTGGATGAATTTCCTTCAGTAGAATGTAAAATTGTGGTCCTTTGTGATTGATAAAATGTGAGTAAATGCTGTCATTGCTACATGGAGGTCTTATGAAGCAAAATGCTTGATTTGAGCAAACACTAAACATTATTACCATTAATCCACATCCGCATGAGTATTGCATAATGTTGTATAATATTGTTGAATGTACAACAATGATGTAAATAATGCTCAGTTTTTTTGTTATAGTCAATTTGCTTTACTTCCTTTAGATCTCGAAGAATAATCAGAAGCCTCAAAAATGGTGTTATGTTATGAATAAAACTGATTCAAAAATAACCACATTTTTGCTAACAATCCACTTTAATGTTAACCTGAGGAAGAAGTCAGCTAAATCTTAAATAAGTTAACAGTAAATGTTCATTTTTTTTGTGAACTGTATATTTTAGATGGCAGCACTGCCTCCAGAAGGCCTCAAAAATAAGGCTCGTGTGTGAGAATCATTCCACCACATCTTATATCTTATTATTCTTCCTGACAAACATTTGATTTATGAAATATGCCTGTCATCCTTGTCAGTCAGCGATTAGTTTATCTAACATGTTGACAAACAAGGCTGAAGGAGAAAGTTTGAATAATCATTCATGTCAAGTAGCCATCATTTTCCAAAGAAAGGATTTGTAAATTTGTGGATGTCTCGGCATTTCCTGTATAATTATAAAACTTGTTATCTATTTAAAATGTCTTTGTAAACGTTTCATGTATACGAGGCATTATACATAAAACCCAATACAGAATAACTTTGAGTACCATATTGTCTTTCTAAAATGGTTATCACAGAATAGAAGTATTAATAAAGTCATATATATAATTTTTAATGAAGTTGCTGAATTGTACTGAAGTGCTGAGTTAAAAATCATCAAAAACTCCTGCTGGAATAAGAAAACAAGTTGTTATGTGTCATGCAATTTATTTTTTAATACAAAAAGCATTTACATCAGCTTATCTCCTGCATGAGAATAACTTCTTTGATGGGGCTTTAATACTACACTGTAAAACCTAATAAGTTAAGGTAACTCAAACCATTTATAACTGATTCTAATTAGTACTGTGAACTTAATCTATTTGAGTAAACAAAGAAATTTGTGCACAGTAAAGCCATAAAAAATGAAGAGAACTCAAACTAATTGAGTACGGAAAAACTCAATAAGTTGAGGCAACTCAAACCATTTGAGTAAAAAAACTAAATCTATATGAGTACTGTAAACTTACTCTACTTAAGTTGAGGTAATGAGGTAATTATTTATCTCATTACCTTCAACACTGAGTTCAACACTCTTTTCAAATAAGTAGAATTAACTTTCAGTACATTCTGAGTTGACATTTCATTTTATAAAGTTGACTGTTGGGTTTTATAGTGTTATTACACTTAGGCTGATATCAATAGTTCATGAAATAGTTTTATTAATAGGGCCAATATGAAATATGACACATGAGCAATATCACACACGCCATGTATCACATGGATACATATTGAGCTAATACAACTGTTAGATGGTACAATACCTTAGTGTGAGGAAGTATTTCCTTCCCCTGTAGATTCAAGTATTAAGCTGACCGTTTCATAAAACAAAAGCTGATTAAAAAACATTATTTTAGAACTAGTAACAAAAATGTGTTGCATTTGTTCTTTTGAGTTAAATGCATTGTGTATTAGAGCATAGTGTTATTTATGAGGAAAAATATTGTGGTATATACTTTCTTGTGGTATATACAAACTGTAAAACCTGACAAGTCAACTTAACTCAAACGTTTGAGGAAACCGGTTGCGGCAAAATGTATATATGGGGTGAAGCAGTGGCGCAGTAGGTAGTGCTGTCGCCTCACAGCAAAAAGGTCGCTGGTTCAAACCTCGGCTCAGTTGGCATTTCTGTGTGGAGTTTGCATGTACTCCCTGCGTTCGTGTTTCCTCCGGGTGCTTTGGTTTCCCCCACAGTCCAAAGACATGCGGTACAGGTGAATTGGGTAGGCTAAATTGTCCGTAGTGTTCGTGTTAATGTGTGTGTGTGGATGTTTCCCAGAGATGGGTTGTGGCTGGAAGGGCATCTGCTGTGTAAAAAAACTTGCTGGATAAGTTGGTGGTTCATTCTGCTGTGGCGACCTCGGATTAATAAAGGGACTAAGCTGACAAGAAAATGAATGATATATATATATATCAGACTTCTCTTGATGAGGAGGAGCAGCGACTCTACTCCGAACTCCTCTCGGGTGGCAGAGCTCCTCACCCTATCCATAAGAATGTGCCCTGCTGCCCTTTGGGGGGAGTAGGTTGATGTCGCGCATAAACTGTAGAGCAGGGGGGCTTGGGGGCACTTCAGATCATTTTGGAAGGGCACTTTCTATCCAAGACTAAAAAGGGCATGTACACTGCACAGGTTGAGCCCTATGTGTGCACGTGCCTGATTGACCGTATTACTGCTGCCACTGCACCAATCCGCATGTCAATCTTACGTTTCATCCTTCCCTCACTCGTGAACAAAACCCCGATATACTTAAACTCCTCCACTTAAGGACTTTCTTCCAACCTGGAAATGGCAAACCATCTTTTTCCTGTGTAGCACCATGGCCTCAGATTTGGAGGTGCTGATTCTCATCCCAGCCGCGTCACACTCAGCAGCAAACAGCCCCAGTGCATTCTGAAGGTCCAACAGAACAATATCATCATCTGTTTGTAACTTAAACATTTTAAGTTCAGTTGTCAAATATGTATGGGTTCAGTTAAATAAAATTAATTGAACACGAACAACTGTAAAGCTACCCAAACGGTTTAAGGAAATTTATTGCGGCAAATAGTTTAAGTTGACAGAACTCAAATGATTGAAAAAAAAGGTTGACTTAGAATATCACTCACCAATTTTAAAATGATTTGATCAGCTGTAGTTTGAAAATACGCTGATCCTTTCTCCTCTAAGGACTTATTATGTGGTCTCTGTTGTAAAATTGTGGATGGACATCTTCAACCATCTTTGCTCTGCTAAATGACAGGCTGATGGATGCTAATGCGCTGTATCTCAGAAATTTTATTTAAAATAAGCACTATCCTTATAAATAAACTGCATAGCAATCTAAACAACTACATTCTCGCCTAAAAAAGCCTCCAAAGTGAATTATGTTGTCCAACAGCTGCAATATTTGTCAAACTATGAGCTTATTGATCAGCTGTCACTCTATGTTATATAAAATAAAAAAGTTCTCTTAAATACAGACAGATAAGAAATGGCAGCAAAACCTTTAGGTTTCTGCTGCTGTAGGCATTCATTAGCTTCAGACACTGACACACATAATCTAATCTATGTCAGACACACCCAGAAATACTGGTAGATTTCTTTTCATTAATCCTATTGTTTCCACATTCTTCAGAAGCAGAGAGCAATTCTTGTTTACACCAGATTTTCTTATACTTGATCCAAACATTTAAACCTACTAAAAGTTTAGTTGTTGCATAAGTCGTTTATTTGTCTTAAAATAAAATTAAATTCATTAGAAGTACACAGAAGTCTACTTCTTTATCACTTTATGTTTACTTTATGATAAGTATGATTATTACTGTTATCATTATTTATGAAATGATAACATAATCAAAACAATTCGGCAGATAAAAAATGTTTACTACAGCAAAATCAAAAAGACAATAAACATTTATGGACAGAAGTTAGAGTACATTGTTGCTGTAACGATTATGTGAAATAATTAAATTATGAACATTATTGACATTGTGATTGTAATTATTATCTATAAAATGATTACATTGTCAAAACAATACAGCACATAATGTATCTAAAAATATTTACCACAGCAAAATCAAAAACATAACAATATTTTATGTACTACAATGCCGCCAGTTACAAAGTATTACGTAAATACTGAGTCACAAATGAACTTGTACTTCGGCTGTGTTTGATTCAGAGATCATTCACCCTCTAGTCAAGGCCAATGACACATATGTGTGTTTTCAAGGCTACAGATCTGGCCTATCTTTATGGATAAATATGGAAAATTGGATGTCATGGATGAATGTCTTTTATGGCATGACCTTACCTTGAAATATTATCTCTGGATGGATGCTGTAAAATATTAAGGTAAAAGACAGTGATTTGAACATCTACGGTTAGGTATGCGTGAATTCATTTTATTGGTCATATGATCTGAATGAGTAATATGGATGACTCACTCACACCATCTATTTTTTACAATTTAATAGCACAAGATGGTAATTTAAATGTGTATTCAAAGCGTTTAACAACAACAGCTTAACCTTGATATCACAGAAAGTATTATAAGGGCATTAGTTACATCTTCAGAACAGATGAATCATCTTTATTGAACACATTTTTATAAACATCTTTATTAGACAACACACATAGACACTCACCAGGCACTTTATTAGGTACACTTTACTAGTGCCGGGTTGGACACACTTTTGCCTTCAGAACTGCCTTAATCCTTCATGGCATAGATTCAACAAGATACTGGAAAAATTCCTCAGAGGTTTTGGTCCATTTTAACATGATAGCATCACGCAGTTGCTGCAGATTTGTCATCTGCATGATGCGAATTTCCCATTCCACCACATCTCAAAGGTGCTCTACTGGATTGAGGGCTGGTGACTGTGGAGGCCTTTTCAGTACAGTGAACTCATTGTCATGTTGAAGAAACCAGTCTGAGGTGATTCAAGCTTTATGGCATGGCGTGTTATCCTGCTGGAAGTAGCCATCAGAAGATGGGTACACTGTTGTTATAAAGGGACATGGTCAGCAACAATCGTCAGGTAGGCTATGATGTTGACATGATGCTCAACTGGTTCTAATGGGCCCAAAGTGTGCCACGAAAATATCCCTCACAACATTACACCATAACCAGCATGAACTTTTGACATAAGGCAAGATGGATCCATGCTTTCATGGTGTTGATGCTAAATTCTGACTCTACCATCTGAATGTCAGAGAATAAATCGAGACTCATAAGACCAGGCAACTTTTTCTAACATTCTATTGTCCAATTTTGCTAAGCCTGTGCCAATTGTAGCCTTTTCTGTTCTTTGCTGACACCAGTGGCACAGCAGTGACAGCAGTGGCACCTGGTGTGGTCTTCTGATGCTGTAGCTCATCTGCCTCAAGGTTGGACATGTTGTGCGTTTAGAGATGCTCTTCTGCATACCTTGGTTGTAACGAGTGGTTATTTGAGTTCCTGTTGCCTATCTATCAGCTTGAACCAGTCTGGCCATTCTCCTCTGACATCAACAAGGCATTGCACTCACAGAACTGCCGCTCACTAAATATTTTCTCTTTTTCTGGCCATTTTCTATAAACCCTAGAGATGGTTGTGCATGACAATCCCAGTAGATTAGTAGTTTCTGAAATACTCAGACCAGCCAGTCTGTCACTAACAACCATGCAATGTTCAAAGTCACTTACATCACCTTTCTTCCCTATTCTAATGCTCAGTTTGAACTGCAGCAGATCGTCTTAACCATGTCTACATGCCTAAATGCACTGAGTTGCTGCTATGTGATTGTCTTATTAGAAATTTGCATTCACGAGCAGTTAGACAGGTGTCCCTAATGAAGTGGCTAGTGAGTGTATTTGTCTATATTTTATCTGTGTGTACTTTGTATTCCTTACATTTAGGGCCAACTGTCCATAAATGTATAATAATAACAGTACTTTTTGACCTCGTGGGGACAGTTTTGGTCCCCATGAGAAAAACAGCTCATTAATCACACAGAATGAAGTATTATGAAAATCTAAAATGCAGATTGTTATGAAGGATATAAGTTGGATTATAGAATATACAGTTTGTTTACAGTAAAAAAAAATCAAGTCTATTAAAAGTCTAATAAATGTGTTATATATTTTTTTCAAAAATGAAACTTACAAGTAAAATAAAGACAGTTATTCAATTTCTTTAACCGGCACCTATTTTACTCCTTTTACAAGATGTAAGATATGCCTTTGGTGTCTCCAGAAATGTGTCTGTAAAGTTTCATCTCAAAATACCCATTATTAGCCTCCAGAATCTGCCAATTCTGATGTCTGAGTAGTGTAGCTTTTTTGTGGCCTGTGGCTTTCAATGCAATTTAATTGCGGTGTGCATATCTGCTTCTCATCATGCGTTACTTCAGATAAACAGCAGTCAGTGATAGAGACAGACACAGATGAAGCTGAAATACAGCTCATTAGTCAAAAATACCAAGAAAGTTTATTTGATGTATTTGTGGTCTAATTTATTCAAGCCTTTCTGAAATGATGAGTCACACACAAATGCCATTTGCAGTACAAACAAACACATATGCGTGCTTACTGACACCATGCGGCTGTGATAATTATAGTGGTTATGAATTAGATAATGATTTTACTGTCTTTATTACAAACATGCTCCGTTTTAAAAAAGTTTGAATCTTATAAAACATATAAAAATCACATAGAATTGGAACAAATATTTTAATCCCAGTTGATTTGCAAAAAAATGTTCTGTGGACATATGTATACATAATTTTATGGAGACATGGCACCTGTCAATCAAATCAGTGGGCATCACATTGCGATGGGCCTCAAAGTCCCTGGGATTTGATCCTGTTTTAATGTCAGGAAATTTAAAAAAGAGAGAGAGACCTGCTGTGTTTATATCACTCCAATATGACAGTGAACACACACACAGTTCTGTCCAAACAGCTTACAAAAGTTAATTGTCATCATAGACGCCCTTTAAATATAAACATAAAATTAAAAACTAGTTCAAACTGTTAAAAAAAAACGACAATATTTAATTCATACTAAAATAACACTGGTGAAACAATTCACTCATTTTCATTACACATCCATACTAAAAACACAAATGACCTTTATTAACAATCATTCACAAACACAAAACATTTCTTCAGTTCAGCACAATGACAAACAAGCGAGAACGGTACAAAACATTTAAAATAAATTAAAATAAATAGTCTGACATTGCAGTTTACCGCATGTCAGTCATATGAAATACACATTAAACACCTCAGTGTTCGCTTAAAAGCAGGTGTCATTTGTTTTCCAAACTATGCATAATAAAGCAAAGGAATGTAACCAAATGAGTGTAAGAATGTTCGAGACTCACTTTCAGTTCACAAGTTAATGCCCTGCACATGTGGCGGTTTCATGCACAGTGGCATTTATTAACTATCAAATCATTAAAAGGTGTCAACTTCAACTTTCCACGGCTGTCGTAGTGCATAAGAACCATCGGCTCATAGGCAGCCGGTACACAGCAGGGCCCGTGTGTTATTCCTTTGGACATGAGATGCAAACGCGACTTAACCTGAGTATGCATACTAGCAGGTTTATAATTATGAGGACAGGATCCATCACAGTAGTGCATGGTGTAGCCGGAGGGAGCGATAATCCAGTCTGACCAGCCAATTTCTTTAAAGGAAACGTTCAATGAATTGCGCCTGCAGTGTCCTTCATCCTCGACGCTTTCTTCTCTGGTAGACAAAGCTCTCTTGTTTCTCCTCACTGTTTGGTCGAGTTGTAAAATAAAGCGAGGCGTGGAATGTGTGCTCACTTCTTGTTTTCTGAGGAGGCAAATTTCCACAACTAAAAGCTCAGCACTTGTGTCTTTGAGCCAATTCTGCACCGCAGAAGTTAAATCCAGACTGACTTCCCGAGAAATCGAGTCTCTGGTGTGAAGTATCGTGTCAGTATGAAAAGCAGGGGGTTTGTGTATTCTGACCACAATGTCCTTTGATAGCCACGGCTGGCCGTGTGCTGTTCTGTGCACGTGCGGCCTCTTGATTTGCAGTTTGGCATGTTGAAGGTTTGTTGCAGATCTGACGCGCGAGTTCTTGTGGAAAGCAGCTCTGATCCACTGCTGACTGGAGTCCGTAGAGGAATTCAGAGGTTGCACTGGAGAATTAGTAAAGGAAGCGAGTTAATTGGAGAATGCAAAACAAACGTGGCATGCATAATACACTCTAAAGTGGTGGTCCAGAGTGTATTTTTAAGGCTTGGTTGTGTTTATAAGATGCAAAGCAATGTGTGCTCATGCTTCCTTTGTGAAAAATCATGTTTGTTTTCCATATATCTTACTTTAATAATACTCAGCTAACATGAAAACGACAATCGTATTTCCTAGTTTCTCCGAAAGCCCGCCCTCAAGAGGCTCTGATTAGTCAGCTAACGTGCTAATGTGCTGTGATTCACAAATCAGCTCCATGCCACCAACGTCTCTGCTATAACATTTCAGCATATACGGCCACATCTCTTTACTGTGCAGAGTGTATGATCGTAACCTGAAGGGTGTATGACATCAATAACTCGGATGTATTTTTTTGTTGTCCCCAAACTTGGTTCGCTGTAGGCTTTGCTAAGCTAACTCTGTAATAGCCAATGCCTTCCTTTGCATTAAACTTTGAGGATCTTACATTTAGAGATGTTGTTTATGTTCACACAGCTACATTACACATCAACTAAAGTTTAGAATATGATATCGTTGTGGACCACCCCTTTAATATGCATGCATAAACAAATACAAACATGCTAAAAAGGTCTATACATAATACATTAAACTGACTTCAATTAAGTTAAAACATGGTTAACTTATTTTAGGTAAATCAACATAAAAAAACATATTTGGCATACAATCCCATGTTAAAATTACATGTATAACGCAGTGTAATTGAACAGTGAAGTAGCTAAAAAAGTTTTTTTTACTAAATTTGAGATTTTCTACATAAAAATTGCGTTTATTTCAGTGTTTATTTGCCAATTGTACTAGCCTCTTCTAATGAAAATAGTTTTTATACACTGTAAAAAATGATCCCGGTTGCCTTAAATTTTTAAGCTGAATCAAATTAACCTTATGAGTCCACTGAACTCATATTATGTTAAGCTAACCTAAAACTTATAAAGTTTAGTTAGTACATGATTAACTTTGTTTAATAACAACAATTAGTGTACATTAGTGTACATATACATTTTGTTATATAAAAGATAAATATATAAAATGGAAATCTTATTACATTTGAAATATTTTAAAATGAGTAAAAAAATATTTTATATATATATATATATATATATATATATGTATATATTTTTTTATAGCTCACACCCTATGAACAATCTGTAAAATTAAGAAAATATGACCAATAGTGGTATTAGTTTTTAATAAAGTAAATAATAAATATTACAATTGTTGGTTTAATTGATAAATATAATCTAAATATTAACTATATTAAATATAAATATCATCAATATTTTGAAACATTGCAGAGCTGTTTTAATGTTTAATTATTATCCAAAGCAATGTGTCTGTGTTTGTGCTGCTTCATGTGCTTTAGGAGGACATGTTTGTAAAATGACATGTGTATGTCCTAGGTATTACAATACCTTGTGTCCTCATAATTAAAATACTTAAAAATCAGACTAAACAGGTTAATCACACTCAATCACACTGCACACTCAAATTTTGACAGATTTCCTGTGCGGGTTGGGTTTAGGAGTAGGAGTAGAGTTATTGCAAGGCAATATAACAACAGTATAAAATACATTATAGCTATAGAGAACACTCATAAACTCAATATTGTAATATATTTTGTTTCTGTATGTATATATATATATATATATATATATATATATATATATATATATATATATATATATATATATATATATATATATATATATATATAAATTGTGCAAATACAAATTTGATATCCTCAAATACATTTAATTTTACTCCACACACACAATAGTTGAATTAATTAAAACAATTACACTGTTTTAACTTCACACAATCTTTACCAGCTTACCTGTTGTAGGAAATAGCACTGTGGAGGCTCTTCTTGCCGTCTGAGTCTCCTGCTCTTCACTTGTGTTTCCTTTCAGCAGTTGTCCAATCCTTCTATACTGCCGATACATCCTGACCAGATCCTGATGGGAAGCTCTTCCTCCAGGCCCCGGCGGTGCCTCCATCCCGAGGTACTCCAGAATAATGCTCTTCAGAGCTTCCAGCTGAAGGCCCTTGTATGTTTCTTCAAGCGGCGTAGACTCTCTCAGACAAGAGCTAAAAATAACAGCCCCGACGGAAAGCAGAAAGACTGAGTTCTGCATGGCAAGCTCTTTTTGTTAGTGCCGTCTTTGTGTTGGTCAGTGCAATGAATGACATTCCAGACATGCTTTCATTTATACAGGTGCAGGCCACGCCTCGCCCAACTCATCTACACCCACACTGAAACCACACGTTCCCTCGCCAATGACATCATGTCAATACGACTTTAGAAGAGTCCTGTCTACCCAAATGAAGTTCATCCTGGACTTGGGACTTTGGTCCTGCATGCGCACACACACACACACACACACACACACTTAATGCACTAAATGCATTGGCACTTTTTGTTGAGCATCAATATTATTTAATGCGTTCAAACATGTTCAATGTTTGATAATATCTATACACATACATAACCGTGATGTCATAAGACATAAAGGTCATGAAAGATAAGCATGGTATGACAGTTTTAAGTTCTATTCCTGTACTATGATTCTGCATTTTGAAAGATATGAATTCTTAATTGTCTTATAGTCTGATCTTGTTTTTTATGGTTTTCATATTTTAAAATATTTGGTTTACATGATAAAAAGGTCAAATCATATTTAAGGATAATGTCATTCTTTAAGACATGTTTAGAATATAACTATTTAATGCATAATGAACTAACATGAGCATAAATTACTAACACACGAAAGCTGTAAATACTCAGTGTTACCTAATATTAACAAGTGAGAACTCATAAAGTGTTGCCATGAAATTTATGGACTTTTTAAACTTCTCTCTATTTTATGTCTTGCCCAAACTTATATGTTTTTAGTTTTTGTAAAGAACTTTGCTCAACCACTTCCCCATCATTCTCCCTTTCTTTTCAAATGGGATGGTGGGGCAAATCAATGGTTAGCATGGGCTAACTTTGGCCTGCGGGCCCAAGTTTCAGCATCTCTGATTTATAACATTTTGTATTCTTATCAATTCTTATTGTTGTTATTTGTTATTATTACTATTTCTAATAATAATTTGTATAATTTATTATTATTTTTTATTCTAAATTGTTTTCGAAAATGAACATGCACTGTGAACTATAACATGACCATGAATAACTAACATAATATCTATATATACAGTTGAAGTCAGAATTATTAGCCCCCTTCAAATTTCTTTTTACTTTTTAAATATTTCCCAAATGATGTGTAACAGAGCAAGGAAATGTTTACAGTATGTTTTATAATATTTATTCTTCTGGAGAAAGTCTTCTTTGTTTTATTTTGGCTAGAATAAAAGCAGTTTTTAATTTTTTTAAATCCATTTTAAGGACAAAATTATTAGCCCCTTTAAGCTATTTTTTTCATAGTCTACAGAACAAACCATTGTTATACAATAACTTGCCTAATTACCCTAACCTGCCTAGTTCACCTATTTAAGCTAGTTGAGCCTTTAAATGTCAATTTAAGCTGTATAGAAGTGTCTTGAAAAATATCTAGTCAAATATTATTTACTGTCATGACGGCAAAGAGAAAATAAATCAGTTATTAAAAATGAGTTATTAAAACTTTTATGTTTAGTAATGTGATATGTTGAAAAAATCTTCTCTCTATTAAACAGAAATTTGAGAAAAAAATAAACAGGGGGGCGAATCATTCTGACTTCAACTTTATATTTTACATATTAGGAACAATACAGAGGTTATAATGAAATGATGATATTCATTAAAACAATTAAAATGCTCATAAGGACATTTTAAAATCCTGCAAGATCCGAGATTCAGCGCTCAACATACTTGAGTACACCCCATTTAAAAAAATATATATATTTTTATCCATTTCTCAGTGAATATAGGCCAGGGGTGTCAAAACTCTGTCCTGAAGCTAGGGCCGGTGTTCTGCATATTTTAGTTCCAACCCAAATTAAACACACCTGAACCAGCTAATCAAGCTCTTTATAGGTGGAAACTTTAAGGTAGCTGTGTTGAAGGAAGTTGGAGCTAACTATGCAGAACACCAGCCCTCCAGGCCCGAGTTTGGACACCCCCGATATAGGCAATGTATTTTGGTGTATTTAAACAAAGCAGATTTATTAAACAGATATTTTATTAAAATAATATTTTTGTCACCAAACATGTTTAGAAACTGAAAGATAATGCAATTAAATTTAAGCAAAATATTGCAAAAAAAAAAAATTACAACCTACAAAATTTCAACTAAATTTTTCAATGTTTTTGCCTCTCTTGATTTTTCCTCTTTTTAAAATTTGCATTGAATATTTTTCTATAACATATAAATTTGGTTGTACTAGATTTTGGACCGTAATCATAAGTTACTTTGTTAGATAAGCTCCAGATTTGGCTTCAGTACTGACTAATCTAATGTATATGCACAACTACAATATTGTATAGCTTCCTATTAAAAAAAATGAATTTAAAAAGATAGATTTGTGAGGGGTTTACTTATACATGCTCAGCACAATTTGTCAAACAATTGTCAGCAGTTGAAAAAAATCTCACTGAAGTAAAATAAAGCACAACAGACCTAAACAAAACTCAAGTCAAATAATTTGCATAAATGCCAAAGCTTTACTAGTCACGTGTTGTGCATCACATGGTCGGATGAGACTTCTGAGGTAAAAAGTATGTGAAAGGTTTTTAGGTATGTTTCAAACAAACACTGCGGCATTCATGCTGTCACAAAGCCAAGAGCGCCGCTGTGAGTCATTGATTTGGAGCCAAACAAAATTATGACTCTATTTAAAATATGTAGGAAACTTGCCATATAATCTCAACACACACCCAGAATGACCTTTTTTGAGAACACACCACATGTTACATCAGACAAAGTACGTTTAATGACCTAAATATAGGGTAAACTTGACACTCTTGCTGTCACACTGGTTGCCACTGCAGCAGGTTAAAGGGCACGTTTGAGTGTTTTCAAATGTGCCCCGTTGTAAGGTTTGTTCAGTTCATATACAACTGAATTACAAAAATAGACACTTACACCGAATTCCAAGATTGTGTAAACTACATAGGAGCCCCTGCCAGATTTAAATCACAGATAAACTAGCCTTTCTGATAATACATGCCAATGACGACACTGTGATGGTATTTTGCGTAAGCGTTTCAGCTAAGAACGTAAAACATTTTATGCGTTTGGAGTAAAAATGTTTAAAAATCACTTCGCTTTTGAAAACAATACCCCATCGTGTCGACTTGTGTACAGTCACTTTTTTTTTTTTTTTTTTTTGAAAATGGCAATGTCATGACTTTTATCATGATATATGATATCATCCCAATATTTACATAAACTGCAAAAAGGTTACATTTACGGGTTTAGGAACTACATTTCTGAGTGTTCCTTTATTGCAGGGGTCACCAATCTCGGTCCTGTAGGTCCGGTGTCCTGCAGATTTTAGCTCCAACCCTAATCAAACACACCTGAACAAGCTAATCAAGGTCTCACTAGGTATACTTGAAACATCCAGGCAGGTGTGTTGAGGCAAGTTGGAGCTAAACCCTGTAGGGACACCGGCCCTCCAGGACCAGGATTGGCGACCACTGCTTTATTGTAATCAGTAAGAAATGTGTCTGTAGTAATATGAACGGAATTTGAATGGAATCATTAACTAATACCAAGAGTTAAAAACAAACAGCTGTTTTTTATAAACAGAAGTTAAATGGTAATGTTAGCTTAATTAGCAATTAGCTCTATTAAATCAAACAGTTAGGATTTTTATTTGAATGAGTTATAAAGTGTTAAATAAGAAATTACTATAGCTAAGTATAATGCATTCTTTACAAATGATTATTTAATCATCAGTTTAGTTTAATCTTAACATCATGAGCATTATTGTAAAGCATTAACAAACAATAGGCCAATACAAATAAATAATAATTTCTGTTGTAGACCAGATTAACATATGCACATTTTTTAAGTAAAATTCTTTTGAATCTTCAATCATTTTGTTCTGTGATGAATATAAAATCTGAAATATAAAAGGCACTCTAAATGTTAAAATAATAACTATTCAAATTATCTTAAATTGAAGTGTCTATCATAACAACATCATCCATGTTCATTATCACAATACATTGTGTTATTGAATACCTGCACATGTACATTTTATGCATAAGTACTTGCCAATTGAATGAAAAATGGCAGACAACAAGAATATTTAAGTGGTGTTCATTTACAAAAATTCATTGCCGATATGTGGCCTAGCATACAGTAACAATATAGTATTTATAGTTATTTTCATTGATAGTGACAGGGATTGCTTTGACAATGTTGACATTTAAAAAAAAAACAAAGGAATTTCCCCCCCAGATTTAGCACATCATTGCCATGTAAACATACCCTTAATGATAGGACAGCCACACGACACAGGGCAGTTGTGTGATTGCATAAGTAAGGGTTAATCAGGTTTGCTTCACGTTTTCTTAAAAAAGTGACGCCAAAACATTTCAATCGCCCTCTGGTGGTTATAAAGTGCTTAAACCACAGGTGTTAAATTCAGTACCTTGAGGGCCACAGCTCTGCACAGTTTAGTTCCAACCCTAATTAAACACACCTGATCAAATTAATTAATTATTTAAGTGCTTTAGCATTGTTTGATACCTACAGATAGGAGCATTAAAGCAGGGCTGGAACTAAACTCTGCAGGGCTGTGGCCCTCCAGGATTTGAGTTTGAGACCCCTGGCTCAAACCAAGTAAATCAATCAATCAATCAATCAATCAATCAATCAATCAATCAATCAATCAATCAATCAATCAATCAAATTGCTATTAAAATAGTTCTTCAGGCTTGATTTCTGTTATTTTAGGTAGTTTTTTCGTTACGTCATATGTTTGTTGTTATTAAGTGAATTCTACAATATGTGGTTTGGTGTTTTGATTGTGTACTTACAGTTTGGGTGTTTTTGATAATAATAACCAGTAACTAAGGTTTTAATTCTAGCAACTGTACTATTTAAGGTACTATTTACTTTTAGTGTTTGCCCATATGTCTCCCTTTGGTCCACATTATTTAAGATTTTGAGGAACTGAAGGTTTAGGTCTCACATAATACACTGTCTGACACTTTCAAATTTCAGACAGTGTTTTGGGTGAAGATGAATATAAATAAATGTGTCCCTCTAGTGGAAGCTTTGAAATACTACAATATGCAACATTTCATTTTACATATAGGGATTTGTGAACTACAAAACTTTTTATTTTTTCAATTCTGGACATTAGATGTACATGTACGACATCTGAAAACTGCAACCAAATAAGTGTTTGTTCCCTTGTATTCCTTTAATAAATAAATATTTATTAATTAATTTATTTTCCTTTGGCTTTGTCCCTTATTTATCAGAGGTCACCACAACCATCAACTATTCCAGCATATGTTTTAAGCAGCGAATG